ACACACACACACACACACACACACACAGATGAGGTGTAGGCCCTGAGCAGGCCAACACACACCACACACACACACACACACACACACACACACACACACACACACAAGATGCAGCCCGGAGCAGGCTCACACACACACACACACAAACACACACACACACATGAGATGTGCCCCTGAGGAGGCTAACACACAACACACACACACACACACACACACACACACACACATGAGGTGAAAAGAAAACCAACCTGCTTCTTGGAGCTGGAAGTCCTGCACTGACCTAAGAGAGCTGGTGCTGCTTCCGTCTTTGGAAAGCGAGAATGGAAAGAACAGGGAGAAGGAAAAAAAGCGGGGGTGGGAGGGAAAGCACATTCATTGGAAAAGAAAAGAGCCATCAACACATCAACAAGCAGAGGAGAGTCCAGCTCCTGGGGGGCCCAGCTCTGCCGCACGCCCAGCAGCGGGCTAGGCTGAGGCACACGGCTCGTCTACAAAGCCAGCCCCGGAGCAGGAAGAACGGAACAGCTAAGGGGAGCTCGTCGGGACTCACGTCGTCATCGGAGTCTCCACCCTGCATTGTGCCCACGATGAGTTTGCTAGGTCTTCCTAAGGAGAACCAAAGCATGAAGAAATTAGGAAAACCTCATTAAAAAAAAAAAAAAGGCGGGCGCCTGGGTGGCTCAGTCGGTGGGGCATCTGACTTCGGCTCAGGTCATGATCTCGCGGTCCGTGAGTTCGAGCCCCGCATCGGGCTCTGGGATGACAGCTCAGAGCCTGGAGTCTGTTTCGAATTCTGTGTCTCCCTCTCTCTTTGACCCTCCCCTGCTCATGCTCTGTCTCTCTCTGTCTCAAAAATAAATGTTAAAAAAAAAAAAGGCAAGGAATGGTATTCAAGATTTGCTTTCCTTTAGAAAATTGGGGAAAACAAGAATCACGCTAAAAAATTTACTTAGGTAACATCCAAATAATCAAAACTATAATAAACCACAATAGATTTTCTTTCTTTTTTTTTTTTTAATTTAAAAAAAAATTTTTTTCAACGTTTTTTATTTATTTTTGGGACAGAGAGAGACAGAGCATGAACGGGGGAGGGGCAGAGAGAGAGGGAGACACAGAATCGGAAGCAGGCTCCAGGCTCCGAGCCATCAGCCCAGAGCCCGACGCGGGGCTCGAACTCACGGACCGCGAGATCGTGACCTGGCTGAAGTCAGACGCTCAACCGACTGCGCCACCCAGGCGCCCCAAACCACAATAGATTTTCTAGATTTCCACTTTGAAAAAAATGAAAAGGGCAATAAAATATAATCATTAACTCGGAAGTCAGAAAAATATACATGCATCCTGTAAATGTTGTAAGAAAAATCAGTGAATCCCACTATGAGTAACAGATAGCTGTGCTATCCGTTGGAAAAACAAAGTCTTCCTCCAGGGACCAATGTATTTGAATCTATGAGCTTCAAAGAGAAAAAACTAAGTATCACACTTAGTTCATCTTTCAAACCTGCGCCCCCCCCTCCCCCCGACTCCGTCATCTCAGGGATTCTCCTCTCTCCTCTGGAAGTCAGGGTTGCTGACAGGGGACTTCTGCCAACGCTCAGGAGCCGTCCTGCACAGGGCAGCAGCGGACAGCTGCATCACACCCGGAGGCTGACAAAGGAACAGCCGTGACCCCAGGTCAAGGCCTTGGGGCAAGGGCAGCGAGGGCAGCCCAGAGAGGAGCTCACTCGGGACAGGCCTGGGGTGACCACCAAGAGCTATTTAAGGAAACTTTCCCTCACTCAGATCAAATGCAAGTCTTGTGTTGTCCAAAGCCCTTATTTATAATTTTTAGAAATGGACTTTGTGACTTGACTCCTGCAGGCTGAATGGTCAGCAGAATTCAGGAGCCCCAGTGCCTCTATGAGATTCTCCTGAGCCAAACATCTACCTTTCCAGAGCCTCAGCTCCCATCTACAGAATGGGAGTCATAACCTCTAACCTCTATTTGTATCATGAAGCTGTTAAAAATAAAAAGAAAAGACATCAGAGCATCTAAGTAACTTATGTAAAAAGGAAAATGTAATAAAGAACAGCCGAACCTAGAATAAGGGCAGTGAGCAGGAAGAGTTAGTATCAAATGAAGATAATTCACCTCTTAAATATGTTGTGTATATAAAAATGCAAACCGCTCCCAAAATTAACAAATGGCAGATAAATGTTTCTAAAGGCAAGTATAGGGGCGCCTGGGTGGCTCAGTCGGTTGAGCGTCTGACTTCGGCTCAGGTCGTGATCTCGCTGTCCGTGAGTTCGAGCCCCGTGTCGGGCTCTGTGCTGACAGCTCAGAGCCTGGAGCCTGCTTTGGATTCTGTGTCTCCCTCTCTCTCTGACCCTCCCCCATTCATGCTCTGTCTCTCTCTGTCTCAAAAATAAATAAACATTAAAAAAAATTTTTTAAAGGCAAGTATAGGGCAATGTAGTAATATCTATCAAAATAAAAATTTACATAACCTTTGACCTAAGAATTCCCCCTTGAATGGTACAAACACTGAAGATAAACAGAAGGATGTATCTATGAGGAAAAGAAAAATACAATAAATATCTTTCAATATGGGAATGCCTGAATAAACCCCAGGTATGATCACACTGTGGAATACTATGCAGCTGTCAAAAAGAACGAAGCAGAATTGTATTTTCCTGACACGGGAGGAGTTCTAATATATTTCATCATAATGTTTTTAAAAAGCAAGTTGCAGGAGGTGCCTGAGTGGCTCAGTCAGTTGGGCGTCCAACTTTGGCTCAGGTCAGGATTTCACCATTCACGAGTCCGGGACGCGCGGTGGGCTCTGTGCTGACAGCTTGGAGCCTGGAGCCTATTTCAGACTCTCGGTCTCCCTAGCTCTCTGCCCCTCCCCCCCCCTCAAAAATAAACATTAAAAAACAAAAAGCAAGCGGCAAAACTATGCACAGAGTCTGGTCCCATTTAGGTTAAAAAATGTCTCAGGTGATCTTTGTGTCTAAGTTTCACTGTATGTGTGTGCTTGCCTCTGTGTGAAAAGGCAATGTGGAAGGACCACCCCCCCAAGCCACTGACCGGGACCCCTTTAGGATGGAAAGTGGGACCTCAAGAAGATCCCAGGGGAGCACCCACACTTGTCCAGATATTTTATTGCTCTTTAGCAGTGAGAAAGCAGAAACTAGTAGGTTTTTTACAGGCAGAGATGGTTGTGTGAGTCCCTCCTCTGTGCATAATTCTCTGATTACACGGGATGCAAGCGCACTGAGAACACTTTGGACCCAAAAAAGGACAGAACACAGCTCAGTGGCAGAAGCAGTGTGTTCCCATGGCCTCTGTGACCAGGACACAAAGAACAATCGGCTATTCTTGAGACCACAGGTAAGAGTACTAGCAGCAAAGGTGACCACACAGAGGACTTTAAGAGCTGAATCCTGATAAACAACAGAGCAGGATAAACCCTGGAGCAGGGGCCACCCAGAGTGTTCTACGACAGGGCACGGGAGCGGGGGCAAGAGAAAGAAGTCGTGCTACCTTGCATGAGCACCTCCATGGCCGTCCGCGGCTTGGACAGCCGTCTCTCCTCCAATTCACTGTCAGATTCGTCTTCCTCCTGGATGTCAATGTCCGAGTCGTCATGACCTGGGAGCAACACAAGTAGGCAAAACAAAAGGGCGGCTCCATCATTACCTCTGAAACAGCTTGTATCCAAAAGGCTCTTGTGCAAAACCATTTGCACTTCTCAGCCTTCCTTCTGCTGCATTAGATTTTATGAGACTCTTAGGATTGGCCTGTAGATACTTAGAGGGGTTAATGCAAACAAGGATGTACTGGGTTAGTTTTTTTAAACAATTTTCCCAAGCAAGACAAAACTGGGTCAGAATACTATTCTCGTAGGTGAACTACAATTGGAATCACCAGCTGTCAAGGTATAGCTGGAAGTTCTTGGTTAATTGGGGGCAAAGTCCATTCTCTGTTCAGGATTAGGTGGCGTTACCACGACTTGAGCTCTTTGTGGGTAACAGAGATGAGGAGACAGAGCCCACTGAAAAGGTGAGGGATTGCACCAAAACGGGCCTGCAGGCGACGGGGAGAGCAGGCCAGGAAAGGCTGGCCTGAGAAAGACGGTGACCTAGTGCGTGGCTGTAAGAACTCGTGCTCACCATCTCCTTTCCTGGAGAAAATTCCCTTACAGAGATACACAAAGAGAGGGCGTTCTCACATTGTGAGATGTGCGACAGCCTTACACATTAATTTCTTACACGTTAATTTCTTAAATACTCTTCCAGAGTCTTGTGTGGGTTAGACACTTCCTAATGGGAACTTACAGGAGGATAGTTTCCACAGTGGAGAGAAAAAGCTTTCACTGCCCAGCTGACTCCCTGTGACTGGGGAGAGACACTGGTTTGGGAAGGAAAGAACAGGAGGAGTTTGCAGTCGCTCTGCTGACCAGTGAGTCAGAGGTCAGTTTGGAAGTACAGTAATTGTTCGTCTACGGAAAGGCTTTGCTCAGCCCCTGCTCTAAGTGGGTGAGTGGGTGGCTGCGTCTGCCTGGGCACCAAGGGAAAGTTCTCTGCTTTCTTCGCCGTGGAGAGAAGCGCTGTGCTCTCCAGCATGGAGGGGTAAGCTGGGAACCAGGGATGTATTAGTAATAGATAGCATCCTGCAAGGACTTCAACACAATCTGTCTGAAAACCGCCACCATACAAAAAGCCTATACAGAGAATATAATTAAATACTACCACAAATGAATCACTACAAAACGCAATTACTATTCATCTGAGTTCACTTTTTATGGACATTTTACCATGACATTGTATCATTACCCCTTGCAATATAAATCAAATGATATCATGAATTTTAAAATAATAATAATACATGTTTCTCAGGCTCAATAGGATTTCTTCTGACAAGTTCAAGCCAATACACTAAATTAATGCATGCGGACATGGAAATCACCCAGTTATCAGTGACACGTTCAAGTTAGGATAGCAGACAAGAGTGCCCATAAAATTCAAAGAGGAAAGAACAGTCTTTCCAACAAATGGTGCTGGGACAACCAGAGAGCCACACGCACAACAATGAGTTGGACTCCTACCTCACACCATATGCAAAGACTAATTCAAAATGGATAACAGTTAAAACTGTAAAAGTCTTCCAAGAAAATATAGGGATAAATCCTGGTGCAGTGGTTTCTGAGATATGACACAAAAATGCAAACAACAGAAGAAAAATTAACAGTGTGGACTTCATTAAAAGTTTGTGCAGCAAAAGCCAGCACTAATGAAGTGAAAAGACGGCCCAGAGAATGAGAGAAGAATATCTGCAAATCACAATGTATCCAAAAACCATTTCAACAGGTAAACAACGTAAAGTATGAGTAATGAGTAATTTAACTTTTCATTCATACTAAGTCTTCAAAATATTTTCCACCAACGGCACTCCTCAATTTGGATGAGCCACACTCGAAGTGCTCAAGAGTCACACATGGCTTGTGGCTACGAACTGGATGTCACCATTCTGGCCTCGGCTCCTTGAGCGCCTTATCTGTCACCGTGCCCCCAGTGCTGGTACAAGGCCTGACACACAGTAGGCATGCAGCAAGTAAGTGTTGAACGCAAGAACATTTGCTCTCCACTATACCATAAAAACTAAATCCCAGCAAGGTTACTAAAGTGCTTTCTAGAAATTTGTGGGTCATTTTATGAAATCAGAGGACTCTACATTCCTTACACTCCAGTGCTGAATCCTGTAGAGAGCACAGTTATAAATTTACCACGAACAGTGAGGTTTAAAAGGATGGTGGGAAGATGAGGGCTGTCCTTACTGTGACCACAGGGCATGTGAACAAAGTACTTGGCCTTTTTCGTCTCTGAGGTCCCCAGGGCAAGGACCTGTCTCTAATCACTCAGACTTGCTCTCTCTTACTCCAGGCCCTTACTCCAAACCCACAAAGCCAATTTGGTGACATCACCTCCTGCTTAACAGAGAAGACAGGAGCCATCAGATGGGAGCCCTTCAGCACACGACCCATCTTCCAGCCTGAGCTTGAGTCCTGCACGCCCACACGTTTCCTCACTCGGCAAAACTCATCCTCTCACTGAGCTCTGGTTCTCACCCTTTCTTACAGACTCCCAGGACTTTCCTCATCCGGTACCTCCTTCCTCTCCAAGTTACACTTTTCAGCCTTTGCGTAAATAGCATCTCCCAAGGAGGCCTACGTTGACCCCCAATTTAAAACACAATTCCAGGGCATCTGGGGGGCTCAGTGAGTTGAGCGTGCAACTCTTGATTCCGGCTCAGGTCATGATACCACAGTTTGTGAGTTTGAGCCCCGCATCGGGCTCTGTGCTAATAGTGGACAGTCTGCTTAGGATTCTCTCTCTCCCTCTCTCTCTCTGCCCCCACCCCACTCATGCTCTCTCTCTCAAAAAAAAAAAAAAAAAAAGAACTTAAAAAGAGTAAACGCGGGCTGCCTGGGTAGCTCGGTCAAAGTGTCCGACTTTGGCTCCCGGCTCATGAGTTCAAGCCCCACATCGGGCTCTGTGCTGACAGCTCAGAGCCTAGAGTCTGCTTCAGATTCTGTGTCTCCCTCTCTCTGCCCATCCCCCACTCACACACTGCCCCCTTGTCTCTCAAATATAAATAAATATTTAAAAATTTTAAAAAAAAGGTAAACACAATTCCACACACCCTCACCATCTCCCTCTCTGCTCTACTTTACCCCGAAAGGCATTTTTCACTTTCCACACACAGTTTGCTCATTGTCTGTCTCCTCTCACTGGCAAGCAGCTTGGTTAAAGCAATGATTGCTTTTTTTGTTTTTCTAAATTTTTTTTAATGTTTTTATTTATTTTTGAGAACGAGAGAGAGTGTGCACAAGCGGGAGAGGGGCAGAGAGACAGGGAGACATAGAATCAGAAGCAGGCTCCGAGCTGTCAGCCCAGAGCCTGACACAGGGCTTGAACTCCTGAACTGGGACATCATGCCCTGAGCCGAAGTCGGACGCTTAACCGACTAAGCCACCGAGGTCCCCAGGATCCCTGTCTCTTGTCCACTAAGGAACCCTTCTTCGCACCCAGAATAGATACTCAACAATGGTTTACTGCACCGAATCAGCTGTCTGCACGGTGGTGTAAACAAGATGAGCTCTTTCAGCTCCTGGATTTTGCTCATTCTTACCCCTAATTTGCGTCCGTGTCCTATTTGGCTTTCCTGTTCAGAGAAGTCTTTCAGAAAGTGTCGTCTTATCTAACTCCCCGCTGATCCCAACTCTTTGGCCAATATTCCCGCATACACAGAAAAGCAAAGAAAGAACATCTTAACAACTTTAGGATGGTTCTTCTAATTTTCCTCACTTCTTTGCCCTCAAGCTAATTAAGTGCTTTCCTTCATTAATTTGGTTTAAATGGGACATTATTTTTCCAAAAAAGCAAAGTCACAGATGCTCCTAGGAATATTTGTCCTTCAAGAGATCCCACACCTGTGGATCACAAAATTATAGCGTGAGTTCAGAAGAATAAAGACCAATGACAAAGGTCTTACGGTTGGCCCAGGCACACAGCAGGGTGCAGCCAACCAACCAAGGCTCTTACTTGTGCTGGGCCTCCTGGGAGGGGATAAATTCCATGCAGGCTTATCACTTAGGGCTGCCTCGGGCTCTCTGGCCTGACCTGGAACCACAGAGGTGAGGGGGGCTGCTCTGACTAGAGAGGCCCCTGGAATTTCCTAAACTTGCCTCTAAAGGATTTCCCAGCACTCCCTATTCTCCTTCCAGAGTTTCCTAAAATTTAGGAGAGAGAGGCAGAAAACAAGTACAAAAGCAGAGAGGCCCAGAGACAGAGAGGGAGGGAACGTGTCCCAAGTCCCACACACGGCATCCTCAAGCATGAGAGAATAAAATACTTCATCATAAAAAAGAGAGCAATAAGCAAGAGGAGGAGGAACAGAGACAAAGCCATTGATTCGGCATTAAGACCATGTGCTGAGGCCGCCCAGACACCTCGGTGAAGTTCGTGGAGGAAACGTGCTAACCAGTCACGGAGAACACTCCTCCCCGGCACGCAGCTCTCACATATGGGTAGCCCCCACTTGCCCCCAGGTGACGGCCTCACTGCACAATCCTGGATTACTGGGGACACAGAATGGGTGTGTGTGGGAGGGGACTAACTCTAATCAAGTGCCCCACTAACATGCACTGCATTAATGACACCTGCTTTCTATCGGTCCTAAAATAAGGAACCTAAAGACCTCCGAGACCACATTTTCTTTTATAGTTCCGTATTATACGTAATTCAAACTGTATCATTTAAACAGGGAAAAACAGTATTTTAGTTGATAAGAAAATCAAACGTGCTTTGAATGCTGTGTAATTTGAACCAGTCTCTTGAGCTCGAGTGAATTAAAATGGTACTTGATATAGAAGTTTTGAGAAAATCGCCTTTTGAAAATAAGTTAAATACACGCACGCATTTGTCGAGGCTAAAAACGCTGGTCCAGAAGAGACAGCCCGGTCTACCCATGTGGTCTTACCTTCAGTCTTGAGCAGACGCTTTTCTTCTTCCTTCAGCTTGCTCTGCATCAGACGCAGAGTGTTCTCAGCTTCCTATGGAACAGCAAGAACAAGATTCAGAAGAGATCACCCTTTTGTGGACTGTTTTATCATTCTCTACCACGTGAATAAGCAGGGCTGAGTCTGTGACGCAAAAGCAGCAAAGATGTAAAGCACATGGAGACAGCGAACGCTGCCTGAGAACCAGGGCTATGGTCGTCCCAAGGCCTCCTCTCTCCAGGATCAGCCAGCAGCCCAGCCAGGGGAGGCTGCCTGAAGTGGCACCACGGGCCCTCAAAGCCCTGAAAAAAAACGAACCAGACAGGGAAATGCCCGTGTGTCTGTTTGGGACGTCGACACGGGGCAGATGCATCGGGAATGGGATAGTACGGGCCTCCTGCTCTCAGAAAATAAAGCATGCAATTTTATTGTTTTTCTGCTCTGTGCTATTCCAGCCCCAGAAGATGCTAAATGGTGAAACTGATCTGGGTGAAAAGAGAAAAGAAATAAAACTAGTCTAATTCCTAGGGGGATAAAAGCTAATACCTCAGCTAGGTGACAAAATGTGGCCCTGATTACGGTCAAAAGAGAGAACGGGGGAGGACAGTGGCTTTTAAAACTTTGGTGTTATTCTCCACATCAAGAAACAAGCACTGTTGGGGCGCCTGGGTGGCGCAGTCGGTTAAGCGTCCGACTTCAGCCAGGTCACGATCTCGCGGTCCGTGAGTTCGAGCCCCGCGTCGGGCTCTGGGCTGATGGCTCGGAGCCTGGAGCCTG